GCGCGGTCCTCTCCGACGTATGCTGGGCCGGTGACAGATACGCGGTAGGTATGTACCGCGCGTGTGTAAGCAAACATACTCGTACGTATATTTATACGTTTGGATGGGTGGCGGTTGTCGTTACGTTATCTGCGCTGACGACGATGACCGAATGTACGATTGAAAAAAAAAAAAAAAAACCGTCTACAGAGGAATAATAATAAAAAAAAAAAAAAAAATAAACGAATAAAACAACAACGACGCATTGTGTGCGAGCGCGACAAAATCCGTGGGTTACGGGGGAGGGATAAAGAGAGGAGCGACGAATTTTTCTTTAAATACGTGTCGGACGTACTCGTGTACGCGAGGCGAACCGCTGCTATATTATCGTACTTACAATACGTTCCATAAATATCCCAACGGCCTGCGCGAGCGGTTCCGTCTAGATGAACCGAACGATTCCCCCCGCGTGCCATCCGCCGTCCAACGTCGTTGCGAGCGCGCGTGCCGCCGTTGTGTACCGTAACGAACACGGTCGACGGGTGGATGGGAGCGGCGATCGAATAAGACCTGGCACATACGTGCAACAACGTTTCGACCGAAAGTCCTCGTTGTGAAATCGTTTTCGAACTGCGTTCTCGTCTAGGTACCGCACACCGGTGGTCAGTGGTCGAAATCGCTCAAGATAAGTGGAGGGATGCCTTACAATTCAAATTTACTGATATCATCATAACATTCTTCACACCTTGTGTACCTAAAATATATTTTTTTTTTTTATAGTTCACATAAGGTATATTATCTTTGTCCGTGGCTTTGAATACGGCTATGATACGGGTTGCGAAACGGCTTATACTAAACAACACGATGAGCCGGGCGCCCGGGCCTGAATGTTAAAAACAATTATTTTCACAGATAAAAAATAAATTCTTATACATAAATATAAAAATGATAGTAAGTATATCATTTTAAAATACAAGTCTTGAGAGGAATGCGTTATTCTAGACAAAACAAGTAGAGGGATGAAAACTGTAAATACAAAAAAGTAGAGGGATGCCATCCCTCCGTATCGGCCCCTCTCACTTCGACCACTGCCGGTGGTCCAAAAACACCGTCGTAACGATACGTAACGGTCACGCTTTGACCTCGAACCGGTGGCGGTCAACGGCGATGAGGGAACGAGAGGAATATATCAACCCCCTTCCCCCTCCCCGTTACCTGTTTGTAAATAATTTTGGTTCGCAACAATCCGATAGAACCGTTCACAAATGTTGATGTCATTTTTTTTTTGTGATTCTGAATTTTTAGTGTAAAGTTCGGTGCAAGTTGAGAATGTGAAAAATGAATCTTTTTTTTTTATATTTTGTTTCTAAAACGTTAACATATAAAACGTTTGTATTATGTGTTATTTTTAAACATTGTTTTCTTATACTTTACCACTGTGTAAGTTATTTCAAAGCAAAGGAATTTGCTTGAAAGAAGCTATAGGTCTTACAGATGATAATTTTACAACTCTTATAATCTTCAGAACTAACATTAACATGGAGTTTAATGAAATTTTTAAAAAATCACAGGTAATACCTAAAATTCGCTTTTATTAAGAATAATAATTATATTTAAATTTGACATTATAACATTTTGATTACACAATATTTACAATTTAGATTAAAACTTTTTTTTTATGTTTAAATTATTCTTGGAGTTCTTAGATTTTAGTGTAAAAATTAAATTGATTAGCAAAAGACAAATGGCTGGAACCCAATTGAGCGCGATTGACTTTTTTCACCACCCGATTGAGCATGTTTGCAATCAAACAAAAGGAACCCAAAAAAAACCCTCCAAAAAAAAAAACAACACGAAAATAGATATGACTTTGCTACTTTGTACAGTATTTTTCTCTTGCACAGAATAGATTTTTGCTGTACAATCATTTTTTGTACATCGCCACTTCAACAATTCACCTTTTTTTTCTCGACCCAATAAACTACTACTGGAGAGTTCCAATATTAGCCAACTCTGCCTCTCTCGGATAAAATAATTTGTACTTCATTATTTCCCATCATAAAAATCGTAAAATAATTTTTAAGGTTTTCAATGTTTATTGAAAAAGTAGAACTGCAGTTAAGGAAAACAAAACTTTGACGCATTTGGGTATTCATCTAAAACAGGACTTGGAGCTATTAAATTTCGGCGATCTCGGGTGTTGTTCGAAATTAGAATAGTGCAGTTCGGATCTGTGAACTGAATTTATCTTGTAAATTACCGTGTTCTTTTTACTAAGTTATATAAACGTAACAATTTGAAAAATTTAAAAAGATTAAAATCGCTTGTATTTCCCTAATATAATATTATGTAGTTGCTTGCTATTATAAGGTACCCGCGCACGTTAATACTGTTGAGTAAACCGGTTTTTTTTTAAATATTTTCAAATTATTATCGTAACCCATCAAGTTGTTTTTAATGACGATAATAATTAATAAATTGTGCTTTATTTATCCATTTTATATACTATTGTTATTATGAATTTTTTCGACTTACTCTGCGTGACGACAGTGTTTATAGATTACTCACATACACTCATATATATAAATAATATTACTTTATATTGGAGTACTTCATGCTATGCAGTATAATTTATAAATTCTAATTGTATTGCAGTTCGGCAGAAATGTTCTTGCCGAGTGATTATCATGCTCAATAACAATTACCTGATTCTTTAAAATACGCAGAGTTATTGTTTGGTTAGTACTCGTAGAATTTTATAACACGTGCATTAAGAAATATAATATTTGATAAATTTAAATAATGTATGGTTATAATATGTTTAAATAGATATTTAGTATTAGTACTTTGTAGATTTTACAATACAGTAGGGTCTCGATAATCCGAACGAAATTGGGGAAAGTGATCGTTCAGATTACCGATTCGTTCGGATTATCTGTGGCTTAATAAAATTATCAATTTTATTGTAATTTAAATTATGAAATTTATTTTTATCTGTATTAATCACGTAAAAACTCGTAATTTATAAAGACAATGTATACAAAAAATTATTATAATTATATATGTGTGTATGTACAGATAATATTTACTATAGAGTATGAACCTTATTATTTAAATTATACATTTACTATTATTATGATACACATACATATGTATTAATATAGCGATGCGATAATTTTCAAGCTCGTTCGGGTTACTACGTATTTGGGATTAGCTTTGTGTTCAGATTATCGAGACCCTACTGTACATACAATACTAAAGGTTGAAAATTGATGAATTAAAAAGTTAAGTTACATAACAAGTTAATTTTTTTTTCTTTTGAGTATTTCTAAGTCCAATGAGTTGAATTGTTTTTCATAATATGCAGCTAGTAAATGAATGTTATTATCACATTAAGTTAGTTTTTTTTTTTTTTAAATTTCAGAGATTAAAAATATATATATTGTATTAAATTATCATTGTAAATAAATATTTATGATACAGATACTCGAAATCGACACTTGAGTTGACCGATCAGATTTTTCAAAATATTTTATATATTATTTCACTATACTTATAAAAATCTATGGCAGTTTTAGGCTCATTGGCCGTTAAAAAATAAATTTATTATATCGAAAATAATAAGCCTATAATATGTAACTTTATCTTCGTGTTCTAAAATCAGTTGTTGGTGATCTTGATTTGATGTCATTAATCATTAATAATCGTTTATAAATTATTAACCAAGGTATATAAACAAAAATGAATTCAATAATAGATTTCATAGATTCCAAACTGGATCGAATTTAAATCTTTGGCAGATCAAGTAGTTCGGATGATTGAAAACATGGTTTTGTAATAGTACATTTAAGATTGTCCTTCCTCTTTTTGCATAATTTAATGTAGGTACTATAACCTAAAGACATACGAAAAGTACGACCACTGACTTATGTTCTTCTGTCAAATAAACATGAAAAAACGTAAGTGTTTTTTAAAATACTGTAATATTATCTATAAATGATGATTTTCAAAATATAAATATTAATGTACCTTTGTATTTATATTGTTTAACAATATTTATCCGGTTAAAATATTTAATTTAGATCTACAATGGAGGATCAATTATCCGCACTACAAAATTTTCGAGTACAAATTAAACTAAAAATAAATTTGTATATATGATTTAGTAAAAGAATCAGAAGTGCCTTCTGAAATTGAAAATTAATATGAAGACGCCAAGAACTATATTGGTACCTACGCCTGGTAAAGCCTTTACAGCAATAGAGTCAGTAATGGAGTGGTATGAACAATAACCAGAGTGTAATACAACCGAACTTTTATTATTAAAAATAATAGAGGACTTGACGGTGAAAAAAAGAAGTTCATTGAATGTGCAAAAAAAAAATTGATTATTATTTCAAACAAATACATTATATTTTTATTTTATTTTTTTTATTATATTTTTTATATTATGTACGAATATTATATTTAGTATTATATCTAGTAAATTAGTTTCCAACTTTATATTAAAATTTTCAGTGTTTGTTTGATTATCCTTATCCCTTTCGGTCCTAATTAGTGCGGATAATCGATGCTCCACTGTAATTACAAATTACAATAACAATGTACTTTTTTTTTTAAAATTAAAACTGCGTTAGCTGTTGTAAAAATTGAAAACAATCAATACAGTAAAAAACGGGCTATAAATTTTACCAGATGAGTCACAACATTTTTTAAACTAGTTCGAGGATAAATATAATGAATGGTGGTTCTTTTTTTTTCCGATGTTTAGGAATGAACATACATAATTGTATATTACATAACGCATGAATAACTATAACGAAAATGTGAAACGAAGTTGTGTAAAATATCATTAATATTCGTTATAGCTTATAATAACTGTAAATATTTTACATTATTTTACTTTTGAGCATTAAATGATATAAGTTATTAAGTCAAGTGGTAAGTACGTCAACATTTTTCAAAATGTGTAAGTTGTACATGGATATTAACTAGATAATTACTATGTAATTAAAAATACATTTTGTTAGAATTATATCTATCACAAAAGGGATTGTGACAATGTATTATATTATATTTTTCTTTACAAAATTAGTCTTAAAAAATAAAAAATAAATTTGCTTAATATTTTGCTCCAGTCAGTGAGTAGCTATTGATATAGCATCTACATTGGCAAGTGCCAAGTTGTCAGTTCTGCATCCTGGTGGAGCAAGGGCATATTTTATTAAGTGCCCATCGGAGGATTGTCTCTCGACACATTCACATATTGTTGTCTCCTGTGAGTAATATAGGTCTGCCTTGCATTTTTATTGGCTTGTACTTATTCAAGGTATTACTCATCGCCCTCGATACTCTTTGTGAATCAAAATCGATAATAATGAACTTAATCTGGGAAATAAAAAAGTGTGTTAATCACATAATTTATTTAATTCTTATTCTAATTGTAATATATGAGTTGATAGCATTAATTAACTTCAATCTAGACAAGGTACATATAGATATTCTTTTGTTTTATTCATTTAAGTTTTAAATGTGGGCAATACGAGACATCATGATCAACTGTTGTAATGTAATGTAATAGTGTTTTTCAATCTTTATAAATAAAGTATGGATTAATTCAAATTAGTGTATTAGTTATCTAAACGAATAAGTTGTCTTAGAGACATTACACTAATTATTTTATTTATAATTTGTTTTAATTTTTAATATTATTTTTTTTAAATTTATCTCTATATTTTTTTTTTTATCTCGACAAATGTGATTGTGATGATTATATGGTATATTTTTTCAATTCTTTTTCTTTCTACTGGTTTCATAATTGGTTCTCTATTTACATAATTTTCTCTTCTTGTTTCTGTAGGATTTTTTATATAGTTCATCATTGTATACTTTAATATGTCTAATTAATTGTATAATCTAATTATTAATACATTTATATATTTTTTTTATTTATCATTATAATATTTTTTTATGTTATTTTTTTGTACTGTCAACCTACTGTGTACCTCTTTTTCCTTACTGTATTACAATATTTTCTTCTCCTACTAACTCATCACTTTGTATGGTCCTATCCATAAATTATTTAATTTAGTTTTTGAAGCATTATCTACTGAATTTTCATTTTTATTGTATCCTTCCTTAGATTTTATTTTATTTTAAATTAATTGATTAATATCCTAATATTTTACAGTACTTATTTAAATAAAATGTTATAGAATATTATTAAAAAATGTATCTTGATAATACTTTTACTGTAAAACTTTCTTGCATAATTCTTAATTTAACTGATGGTATATAAAGGCACCTTCAATTTTAGATGTTAGTAAATCAATAGTTTCGTTCCGATGTAAAAGAATATTATTGTCATCCTAAAAAATTATTGTTCATATCACAATATAGTTGCTATATAAGCTTAAATCTAAATATGAGTACTATACACACCTTTGGTTTTTTCTCTTTCTTATCATACTTATTCCAGTAACTTTCGATATTCTTTTTCTAAGAATCAGCTGCATCAGTGGAATAGTTATGATGTCCAATTTTATCATCTTCATCACTGCTTAATTCTTTACCACACTCACGTTCAACCATTCCTATTCCACCTGAATAATATAGAGTGCCAATTGGTTCATCCTTCTTATTGTCTTCATTTCTCAATCTGTTCTCTTTTCCGCGACGATCTTTACTACTATATCTGGATTCATCATCACCTTTCCGGTTACCAACAATTGTACCACCAGAATAGTAGCAGAGTAGTAATTACCAGCTTTTAATTCTTCATATTTGCGACCGCCACCCTTATGGTATTTATCTCTGGTTAAATAACGATCTCAACTGCTATATCTCCTTTTATGATTTTCATCGCGGTTATCTTCGTCGTCAATGTGATTTCTCTTAGGTCGAGTACCTTTACACACTTTATTCACCATATCTGAAAGACAAAACAACATCTTAAACACAAATACGAAAATCAGGTAACGGGACCTCAAATTCTTGAGGACTAAACACACGCAAATGGGTTAAAACACGTTATAAACAATTGATATTACCTGGATGTGGGAACAACTCGAATACCTAACACACAATAACAAAATGATTCTTATGTAGAATCAAAACGATCCATTTGCAAACAGTCAACAGATAATACACGACTACATGTTCGGGCATCGAGTTTGATTATACTACGAGAATCACCGTTGCAGTGATGATAAGAAATTACCGCTTTTTTACCGATTTTGAAAGAAACGTCATGGGATTACCTATCGGTTATTTTGTTGTACATTTTATTAACCATAAATAAAAAAAAGGAAAAATATGTATTTGATTTAATATATTAAAATTTAATTGATTCTACAAACACTATATAAAACATTCGACTAGCGGTTTACTCCGGTGGCTCAATGGGTTTGTTCATAAGCAAATAATGATTATTATGTTCGAAGCTTATAGTTTGAATAACTTTAATAAACAAACGTATAAGTTGTTATAAAAACTGTGTAAAACTTCATATTTATGAGTTGTCGATTAAACTTTAAGAAAAATCCAAACGGTTCGATGAAAATTTAAGTAACACAGTAACCTAGTCATATATTAAACTTATTTATTATAAATACACTATTTTATGTACTCAAGTTGGCAAAGCTGTCTTAATATTAAAGTTCACACTACGCCGTCTAACTTAAGGGTAATTATTATTATTTTTTTTTTATGTTGTTATATTTTATCGTGTGACAAAGAAAGATTAAAATAATATTAGATAATAATTAAAATAATAATAGATACAAAAATATTTCCTCCTACATCAATAATCACTTCATTATATATATAATCAAAAATAATTGACGTGTTAAAAGAATCAATATACTTTTTAATTATTCTTGATTGTACTTTAGACGTAAGTCATTCAGAACAATTGACAATTATTATAAGATTTCTCAATAAGAACGAAGCAGTAATTTGTGAACATTTTCTAGGTTTTGTTCACATTAATGATTCTACAAGGACAAATGACAAATTTCACGCATGATGATGAAGTTGAAAAAATGTACATTATTCAACACAGAATTGTAAAAATTAATGGCGGTAAATTATAGTCGAGCGAAACGATTGTACGAAAATAAACAATAATAGAAAACTAATAACTACATATTAATATTTTAGCCTTTTTGGCCAATACTAAAAACGTGTAAATCGTGTTCTAACATTATTTCTAACATTCTAACATTTTGTAAGCTTTACTGTACCTATCTATTGGGTATTTAGAATTTGAGAAAAGTATAGTATAAATTTTTGTTTAAAATGAAGACTCATTATTCAATAAAACCATTTAAATATTGATTTAGGTAAGATTTTTTTAAGTATTTTATACGTGCATAAATAAATAAATAAAATGCATTACCTGGATCAAGTCCGTATTTAAAAATTTGCCACTTCCGGGCATGTAATTTATGTACCTCCAAATAAATAATAATAATATAACACTTATTATTTCGTCCATAATCGAAATTCTTTAATATAAAATATAACTTATAAATGAAAATCGTTTAATACTTTTTTTAATTAAAATATTAAACAAATTATAACATACCTAATAAAACATACAATTTCCTTTTTTTTTTTATTTAATTAACAAATTATAACATAATAAAACATACTATTTTTTTGTTTTTATTGTAATATTTTTTTTCATTAGGTACCAACATCATTTTCAAGATTAATTTTGCTTAAATATTTTGCCGCCCCTAAGACTTGACACCCTCGGCATGTGCGTAATCGTGCCCCCTCTTAAATACGAGCTTGGCCTGAATTATTAAGATACATGTACTCGTATATTACAACCTTTTTGAATGAAAATACACATATCTTAATGTTCCAGACTAAGCGTTTTATTTATTTATTTCTATACATAAACTATATACCTATATATAAATATAGTTAGTATATTATACTATTTTACCTTTTGGAGTCTAATTACAAAAATAACAACACTCTCCTGTGCAATATGTAATTCACCTCGAACTTGAAAATAATAATTCTTTTCTTTTTAAATGTAAATCATTATTTTTCAATTCACAATATCTTATTTATTATCTATGGCTTCATTTGGAGATATATTTTTGGCTCTAGAAGGACATTTATTTATTTTATTATTTTATGATCATGACAAAATGCACTTGAGCAAATTAATTATTCTCTTCATAGCGTTGAATATTGCTAAAACAACTATAAAAATTTATTATGTAGTTGACAAAATCGATAGTCAACATTCGATTAGCAATCCTGATTGTTGTTATCAAGGGACGCTATAAGTTATCACGGAGAAGCCGGTCGAATGTTGTATTAGTGTTTTTTGTACATTAAACAATCCGGATGTACACAATTTGTGAATTGAAAACAATACCACCGCTGTTTGTTTTGATTTCGGATTTTCTCGCCGTTAGCCAAACACTTGTCCGGTCGATTGCGGATCGTTAACCATTCTTATCGTTGTTATTTCTCTTTTTCAACTAGAACACATAGTTTTGTCCACAACGGTCTTTGCGAGCGAAAAGGCGTCATGAAGTTGGTCAAGTAAGTCTAGCGCTCGGTTTTCAACGGCTGCCGCGAATACATTGAAGATCCATACGCCAATCAATTCGGATTTAAATGTTTTAAACTGTGTTGGTTGGGCACCAGCGTGTGATCTACTTGACAATAATGATCTACAGTTTACATTTAGGTTGCATATGATGCTGGTTTTTCTATCGCTGCACCTCGTTCGCAGTGTCTCAATGTTTTTTAAACAGTTACTCATATCGAATTATTGTACCTTTCGTGGTTATAATTTATTGCACTTTCTTATTAATTCTTTATTACAATGCTTTTAGTCTGTTGAACACACTACTTACCATTGATAATAATTGATTTTTAACGAGCCAACAATCTATGAAAAAACTGCATTTTTACCATAACTTGGTTAACATTCAACATCTTTGTTATCAAACATTGTGGTGGAATATATTGATCACCAAAAAATTCTAGTTAACTATATGTTTAGCTCCAACGTTATGATTTAACACTGATTTAACTGATCTGTTATGAATTAAAGCTGCAATGTGCTTTTATATATAAGAATATAGCTAATTATGACAAATTTAGAATATTTGTTTTTTGTAAAAAGAAAAGCTGAAATCTTTAATCAAATGTGTTTATCTTAATTATATGGCTATCTTTTAAAGTTACACTAGTTAGATTTCATATTCTTTTATAAAGGTACATCGAAACATTTTGTTTCTATTTGTAATACGGTGACATTGTAGTGCGTTACAATACGTACCTAAATGTGACAATATTTATGTTAAATTAAATAATTTTTACTATTCATTATTAAAATTAATTAGTTATTTGAATTTACACTGATGTTGAAATTGCACTCATGTATGATATTTTTTGTATTAAATTTTTCAGGTTTTTGATGAAACTTAGTCATGAAACTGTTACATTAGAGCTAAAAAATGGTACTAGTGTCCATGGAACCATAACAGGTATAAAAAATATATTTAAGTTAGGTATTTTATTTTAAATTAAATGTTTAATTTATTAATTACGATACAAAATGTATGTATATTTATATTTATAGTATAAATATATTACAATTAGAGTTGAATAATATTATTTTATGAATTACTAATATATTTCAATTAAGAAATTAAATGCAATATAGGATTTTTTGTTAGAAAATCAGCATATTGTATCTTGAAAACTAAATATAAAACATTTGTGAAAATTAATATTAGATATTTAATTCTTAACTTAGTTATTACAAATTATTTAAGATTATATTTTCATTCAAATAATTACTACTGTAATAGTTTTTTCTTATAAGTGTTATTATCAAGATGTTTTAAAATCTAGTTAATATTATCAAAAATATAATTATCTTATCTTCAACAGCTTAATGGTCCATTAAGGATCTACGCTGTCACTATAGTAAGTTTCTCTTTTTTTTCTTTGTCTAAAGTCTAGTCTAATGTTGGATTCCCTGCTGTAGCCCTGAATTAACTTTAATGGCCAGTGATAACCTCTAAAGGAACCATACTTTAAGTACTGTTTTGTCATTATATATTTTTGCAGGATTCCAAAATGTATCATTGCTTTCCATAACTCCTGTCTATTCATACTGTCATTGCTTGTTTGTAGTCAAAATATACCATATAATTAGTCCTTATCAAACTTATAGTATTTTTCCATTGTTTACTTTAAAGTAAATATGTGATCGACGATGGATCATAAATATAATTACCTACAAAAAACATTTGAATGATTTATTTAATTAATAAAACAATATTTGTGTTATTAATTTATTTAATAGCATTGCTATATAGGTTTAATTTGAATCGTTGAATTTGAGAGGTTCATTTTTAACAACTATTTTAAATTAGTAACTTCAGTATAATGATTTTATTTAAATTTTTTAGAAAAAAGTAACTTTTCAACTGAACACTATTACAAAATATTAAAAATTAAATAATATCATAACCTTATTAAGATACTTATAAACTAGTTACATGATTTACATATCAAATTGATGTATTCTAAGACTATTTTCATTCTCTAGATGGTTAACATTAAAACATATTGATGGTTTGAAACTTAGATGTTAGATCTTCTTTTAATATTTATTAAACAACCTATGTTTAAATTTTAGGTGTTGATGCAGCAATGAATACTCATCTTAAGGCTGTTAAGATGACCGTAAGGAATCAACAGCCAATACTTTATGAAACACTTAGCATTCGTGGTAACAATATTCGATATTTCATTTTACCAGATTCACTCACCCTGGAAACATTGTTAGTTGATGATGCACCTAAATCACGTTTTAAAAATAGTAAACGAGGAAGTCATGGAGGTTTGTTAAATAATATATTTTTACTTATTAATAAAGTAAATTTATTTATAATTAACAGGAATATTTAGAATATTTGATTTATTTAAAATTTTGAATTCAAGTGATTTATCATTTATGTAACTAATTTGAGTATACATAGAAATATATAGAGTATTATAGAATAATATTACTATTTTAGTAAATATTTCAAAATAATTTAAAATAAATTGGTTTGATAATTTTTATTTTATATTAGGACTAGGAAGAGGCCGTGGACGTGGAGGTCCAAGAGGAAGAGGAAGCCGAGGTGGACCTCGGGGAGGTCGTGGACGTGGTAGTGGACCATCTCGACGTTGAAGATATGAAAGTATTCCTAATGTATCAAAAAGTATTTTATATATTTTTAAGATTTATACTGTACACTAACAGATAATAATATGACTTGACAATTAATTTCACATTTTATTTTGTATTCAACTTAAAAACTTTCTACTAATTATTTATTCCTTACTATTTAATATTAAACTTAGTATGATTTTATAATTGGAATCATATATCCATAAGTATATTAACTATTATTATTAGAGATAATGGTTGTAAACGAGTGTTAGAATACAATATTACATAGACCCAGCTAAATGTCTTAGAAACCTTGTGTTTTTAATTCTTTTTTCACTTGGATTTGTACATTATTTTTTTCAATGTTTTTAATTACTATGTATTTATTACCCATGTAGTACTCTCCATATTAATTCAGAATTTAAGTATACTTTAAAATTTAAATATTTTTAAGTAGCCAACCAATGGCGTAGAAAGACTATCTAGCGCCCTTGGAAAATTTAGAAAATAGTGCTTTTTAACCAATTGAAATTTGATGTTATAATATTATTTTTGATCCTTTAATTTTACTATTTATTTTTTTAAGTATATAATTTATATTTATAAGTTATTATTACGATATTAATTTTAATCTTTGAAAATTTGCTTTTCTCACTTTATGACTTTATGTATTTATTCCTTCATGTGAAATTTTTTATTTAAATGCTCTTGCTGTATTTTCATAATTTTATCATTAAATTCACACATAGTGAATACAAATAGACATCATCTACATACTTCAAGAAAGTATAACAGAAAAATTTCGATTTGTTTGTAGTATTATAATACAACTTTTGTATAATTTTGCGCTCCTTTGAAATTCGCGCCCCTGGCGTAGGCACAGTTTACAGGCCACTGTAGCTAACCTTACAATTACTTTACTATTACTAGATTATATATTATAATTTTGTTTTTTTATATATTAATGTTCTACTTGTATATATTTATTTATCTCTGTAAGTTTACAAATGGATAACCAGTGCGTAATCTAGAATCTTTATATATAGCTGTACCTCTATTTAACAAAATTTATAATTCTTTGTAAAAAATTTATTTTCTCTAGAAAATGCAAACCATTTTAAAGAAATCAATAATGAATTGATCCAGTAGTTTTTGAATCTGATGTTTATTTCAAATATACCAAAATAATTGTTGATAATATAATATATGTTAAGTGTCAATAGTTATAAATATATAAAAAGTTATTATTAAACAACACTAATTTTACAAAATTACTTACTTATCTTTATTGTTTATTGTTTAATAATAACTTTTAAAGCAAATTGAAATTTAATATTATATATAAAAAATATTAATTTTTAAACTGAAATTAACTTTTAAGAATAAAAATTCTCAAGTTATCTTATAGACAATTTCATTGCCTTATATTAGAGGTACCTATTAGATCAAAGTTAAGTTAATTTTAATTTAATTAAATTTTTTAGGTATAAATTTATAAAAAAAAAGTGTGAATTAATTAATAAAATAAAAAAAATGTTATTTTTTTTTATCCAGATAAATAGTGTTTTATCTTTATATAAATAATTTAGATTTTAACTATCTTTTATCTTTATCTAGATACATTTTTAGTTATCTCTGCACAACACTGCTTATAATATTTAAAATTAACTTTATTATTTTGTAGAAATTCCACAACCCACTGATATTATTTTAATTTGTTTATGTTATGCTTCGAAGTGCACGGGTTCGGCTAGTTTAATCATAAAATTATAGTATTAACAATAATACTATAAACTCAAACAATATTATAATAACTAGAAGGAACCATTGAGTACCTAATACCTAATTACCTATATTATACAACGTGTATGTTTTTAAAAATTTTTTGTTACGACTTAACCGTAAGATATGTGTGATATGATAATAATAACGACGAGTTAGTACGTGCTCCGATCATGACGATGAGACGCCGTCGTTTCTAAAGATTGTTCCACAAACTTCCTAAGACACACAAAAAAACATAAACATTAAACACAAAGGCGGTGAATCAGAACAATGCAATAATTGATGGGAGTTAAGTACGCAATGTACCGAACTGTAGGGCCAAGTGCACAATTTTTTTTGGGGCTACCCCAAGTCAAAAAAATGTTCTAGAAAAAATCTACATAGAGGGGGGGGGGAAATGTTGATAATAATAAAAAAATATTTATATGTTAAGAATGTTAAATACCTAACTCAAAACTTATACAATTTCAAAATCGAATGAAATATAAACCAGTGGTTCCAAAAATGGCAATTATGAGAACGAAATACTTAGCATCACCAACGACGGGTAAAGCCTGATTCACACCTGTCTGGCACAGCACGGTAAATTACCGGACTGAAACGTAACGGAATATTATAATTTGTGTGATAGAAATTTGTAATTCATTTTGAATTTTTTTAGTAGGTGTTGATACCTGCTATTAAGAATGGCACAAAAAATAATATGAGCATAGTAATAAATTGATATAAATATCCTTATTCCTTGAATAAATTCAGTGAATGGATTAAAATGTTGTATTTTTGATAAATTAACATGAGGATTATAAATTATACTTGAAAAGGAATATAGAAATTCTAAATATTTTCAGTTCTAAATAAAATTATGTAAATTCGAATAGTTTTTCACCGATGTTTGTTGGTTTCTACGTCCACACTGCACCGACATTAAACGTACCTACATAGACCGGCACGAACCGGACCGTCAAAACATTATTTCGAAGGATGGTCGGTCGGTCCTGTCGGTGCTGGTCTGTGCCGGTGCGGTGATGTACTCACCAATGTGAGTTATCTCATATAAACTAATAATACAATGTTTTATCGTGCCGTTACGTGCTGTGCTGTGCAGTGCCGGACAGGTGTGAATCAGGCTTAAATTTGTAAATACTGGGCAGGAATAAATCTATAAATAGTTATTAGGTATCAAATATTTCCGATGTTCAAACAATTTTCTTTTATTATTATTTTAATATTTTGTGCTGGTAACTGATTAAAACGTGGGTGTGGGATGACAAAAATAACCAAAATTCAACTGACAATTTAATGATTTATTTTTTAGTATATTTTTTATGTATTGAACTAGACACGTAACTAAGGGGTGGCCTGGGGTGACCCGGCCACCCAACATATTAACAGGCCACCCCAATATATTAATAAAATACCCAGGCTTAAATAATTGAATTAATATAAAAAAGGTTAAACCATAATTTAATACTTACTTTTATTTTATAGATATAAATGTTTATGCTTAAGATATTGACGGGTACGTTGCCTTGGGAAAATGATAGAAGTGATGACGAAGTTTTGTTTTTATTTTCGTTAAATAATAATAAACGAAAAAGGAAATGGGTCCATGAAGTAAATATGGAACGTAAAAAGTTTGCTGAATTTCATAATCTGTTAAAACTACTACGGAAAGATGAAGTTAAATTTATTTTTATTATATATAAATGATTTATTATTTTCTTCCAGAGACAAGGGTATCTGCGAACTTACTCTATTAGCTGCTCTAGTAACGTCATTTCGAAGAATGACGTAGCACTTACAAAAATGAATAAAATATAAATATTTTTCAAAAAACCTTAAACTTTAAAACTGAGTTTTACTTTTAAGTTATAACAGCCGAGATGGCGTAAATGCGTGAAAAAATAATAGACTGCTCGTAGCTTGAATATCATATCATAGGACACACTGTGTTCAATTGTTGATATCGGCACTAGCAATATAAATAAGCATGTTTGTCGAAAACTGCAAACGCATTCGCAACACATCGTTCAAAAATATAGCCACAAATCAAGCACTCAGCTAAGCGCCGCAACGTAGCTAAGAACATCGCGAACATAGCACGCGTAGCGTGTGGCCTTACATTAAATAATACTATAAACCCGTATCGACCGTATAACCCTCTGGATATCGATAAAGATAATAGTCGATATAGAATAATAGATTATTTGTTTAGTTTTCAGTTCAGTCGATTATTATCCGTCGTTGTTCTTTTGTCTCGCAACCACACGTCGAATCATACGTAAAACGTCGTACGCGTATATCTTGTAACATTGTGTAATGCCGAAAGTACAACAGTCTACGAGTAGCCGACTTCCAAGTTTTGTTTTGGAGTTTAAAGATACATTTACATCCGATGGACACATTTTATTTTGTGTATTACCTATGTGGTTATTTTTTTTTTTTATGCATATAAATGCATATTTTCATGCATATTTGTGTATTTTTTAGAGCTATAAGTCCCTAAGCCTAATAATGAATAATATTTGATTATAAAAAAAAAAAAAATCTGAAAAAATAGTAAAGTCACCTAATTATTTGTTTTTAATTTTAATAATAATTTATGTTTGTTTGAAGTATCAAATATTTTGTTCAACTTTATTTTATAGTATATTTAGTAACTGCGAGGAAAATTGCTAACATAAATCCCCTCAAGAAAAATGTTGACGAAAATAAGGCCACCCCAGTTGTATAATTTTAGCTACGGGCCTGTACTGAACTCTGAACATTGACAGTTAGTATTACATTTTACAAAATAAATGTTTGTGGAATTAATTTAAAAATACAATTTTCTACAACTTACGGAGACCAGGGAGCTCCAGAAATTGGGGCACAAGTGCAAGTGATCCATCTGCACTTGCGTAAATCAGGACCTGACCATAGGGGCTTGATTATGAATTTGTTTATTGGGAAAAGGACGTATACAATTTTGTTATTAATTAACTAATTAAAATTTGTTAATGCTGTGTTAGTTTTTATAACATTTGTGCTACAAGCCTACAGCTCGACTCGGAGGAAATTCAAAATAGGCGGTAGGCACTCACATGATTGTCTTCTCAAAGTCTTTACTCCGGCATATGAACTGATGATTAAGTCCGTACTTGGCATCGTATAAAACAAGTTCGGTTAGTGTATTTTTCCGATAACTCTTGATGTAATCGTACAGCTGCAAAAACGAATATTATTAGTAGGGCTCGGATTTTAAAGCATAATAAATAACAAAATAAGTACAAAACTGTTTTAAAAAAGCAAAAATTAAGCATATTTATTTTAAAATGAAGCAGAAAAAAAGGATGACCAAATATTAACATGTATTAAAACTGAATAAAGAAAACTGAAAAATTAATTTAAATTAAAAAAATAGTTAACTACTATGTATTTTGCAAGATTTGCACTAGTAAAACTGGCAGTATTGTCAGACAGAATGTTTTTATACATGGAAAATAAACGCTTTGAAAAAACTCTTCAATATCTAATACCATTGATTAAGAATACTATTATATAATCAATGCTAATACTAATTTTTTTTTAAAAATGCATTTGTTTTAATTGTTGGCATTTTTGTAAGTTCAAACACTAAAATTTAAATTTTAAAACGACCGATATCGAAGTTATAGGAATACTGACTGTAGGTACTACAGGCTATTTGTAGATCGATAAGCTATCGGGGAGTTTATCGATTCGCCGAATATTTTTATACATCGATTCCATCGAAAATTTACATATGTATATAAGAATATAACATATATATTATAATATTAAAACATTTTCGGATTTTATAAATACATAATATTGTTTCTAGCAGATTTTTTACTAAATACTGACACAGTAAACAACATTATATTCTACTCTACAAATTCTAATTTAAAATTGCTATACTCTAGTGAGAAAATATTTGTTGATGATACATTTTATAGTTGCCCAAAATATTTTTATCAACTGTTAACGGTTCATATTTTTAAAAATGGATATTATGTTCCATTATCCTATTTATTATTGGCAGACAAAAGCACAAATACATAAATACATACGCTACCGCATTTAGATGTATTATTTAAACATGCTCAACTCAAAATTTATATTTCAATCCAACTACAATTGTTGTTGATTAATAATCAGTGATTATTATATATATCATTATTATTTAATTATTCTATAAAATGTATATGTTTTTTTTCTTACTTAACTTACTTTCTTAATAAATTCGTGCCACTATACCGTCGTGCTAAATATGGTATGTATATATATAATGTAATGTGTATATAGCGATGTTACATATATATATATTTTTGGCGCAATCGATATTTACGACTACCAAAAGTTGAAAAAAAAATTATCTAAACAACTCCAACGACTTGTCGAATTACGACAAAACGATTACTACGTTGATAATGAATGCAAATCATTAAATAAATATTACTTTATATCATTGAAAAATATGTTAATCATTCGATTGTTACGAACTAATAACGTTTCCTAGCGATAAGATAAGTCTAAATTTTACAATGAAATAATATGGCCAATATAATAAGTTATTTAATATTAAAAAAATACACGTGTTGTAAACATTGTTATTAAAATAATGCTTACCTTTACACCTAAATGGTATGGAAGTATTGTATCGTCTTTTGCATGTAAGATCAACACGGGGAATTTCGTATTTTTCAAATTTTGTTCCGTGTCGAAAACCATGTCGTTTTCATTTACCGGGTCAATAATGAAATAATCGAACCACGGTAAATATCGGATAATCTATAATGAAATACGTAAATATAATTGCATACTAGTAGGTTAAATATTATAAGCTTGTTATGTTAAAACGATCGGTTTAACTCGCTGCCGGTGGTTAAATATTATATCTATGTTTTGTATTAATATTACCTTGGTGGTTGAATATTCTCGGATTGCTTCGCTCATTTTATTGAACGGAGCTTCTAATATAAGTCCGTTAAGATTGATATTTTCTTTTTCCAGCAGAGAAAACGCATGTGCGCTAATTCTGAACAATAAATAATGAACAATGTATTAACTACTAGGTCTATTTACTGTAAATCGTTTTGTTACAATAGATAAATTGTATGTAAATGCATGCCAGTATTACGCTGAGCGTTTTGACATATACTAGACATTGTACCAAAACGCATTAATTAATTATAAAAAAAAAAAGTCGCCAATATAAGAATATTTTATATATATATGTGTGTTGGCATATATAAATACCTAGATCGCACTGCATTTTAATATTTTGACACTCAAGTATAAAGAACAATATAAACTTCGTGGAACGAACGAATCGTTTACATGTACGGAAAAATTATTCTTGTAAACAATATTTGTTGTTACGAATATTTTTCGTTAAACAGTGTACTATAAACATAATAACAGCGATATTATTAATGTTTATAGTACCAAACTAATAACTATGCCTTATGGACTGTAAAATCCTACAGAATATTCGAGTGACAGCAACTACGGAGATGTATTAACATATCCAATACAACTATTATACATCGACCGTTTATTAATGTTTATTTTTTCTGTCCAGATGTTTAATACTGCGTCATATACTAACTTTCATGTTAATTATTCAACAAATATGATTCGTTCATCACTATAATGCCGAAGTAATGAAATAAATTATTGGTTATTAGTGACATTGTTCTACGACAAGAGTTTAATTGTTATTTTAATATTATTAAAATATTATACTATCCCACATAACAATTTAAACACATTCAATGTTTAACACACATGTTGCTTACGATAATGCCAAAATACACATTGGTGCAATATGTTTTTTACATATACGAGAAAAATACTGGTGAAAAATATTCACATCACATTTCGAAAATATGTTTCTAGAACTATTCTGACAACATGTTGTTTCAATTACTGGCACAATATATTTTTATTATTTAATAAAAATATTTTTATTAAATATATAATTAAAACGCTTTGATAATATTTCTTTAAAAGATTATGTCAACATTATTGAGTGTTGTCATAGTTATAATCATTATACAACATGTATTTTAAATTTTAAATGTGTTACTCCTATAGAAGCAATTCATCTATGCTCAACGTTGGAAAAACAGATATAGAAATCGCATTGTCATTAAGCAAGTGGATAGCGCAAACAAGCAATCGCTTAAAAAAGAAATGTACCTATATAGAAAGCACTAAAACACTTACATTTTTTACAAAAGGTTTCAACACAGTTGTCAATCTTCTTACAAAAAAAAAGAACTAAATTGGAAATTACTGATAGAGGAGATTTGAGATTAAACCTGACTAATTTGAAGCCAAATATTGAAAATTTACTATTAAAGCATCAGACTTATCCTTTTCGTTAAAGATAAATTTTTTTAACACCATCCTTGATTTTTTTTTTTTATGTTATTATATTTAATTTATATTTTTTATCGTTTTAATTACTAAAAAATTGATTTTAATATTTTCCTTATTAAAGAAATAAAGGTATTATAAAAAATAACACGTTTTTTATTTAAAAAAATTGCATTCCATAATAAAGCCTATTCAGGTGAGCAGTTCAGTGTAAGTTATGAAGAACACTTAGATGAGTTTGTAAGCATTTAATTTAAGTGGTCTACGAAAATGGAAATAATTGGTACGTGGTATACGGAGAATAAAAGTTTGGAAACCTCTGCCCTGGATTATTAAAATGTTATAATATGTAATATAATAATACATTATAATACAAATATTATAATAATTAAGCATTTATTTATTTATTTCTATATATAAATAATTTGTTTATTTATTCATACATTAAAATTTAATTGTCTATCTGAATTATTACTAATTTTTGTTTTTATTGTTTATATTTACCCGAGAGTCATGCTGAATTTGAACACATTTTAACCGGCTTATGGTATCCAATGAAAATATATCAATATTTTATTTTTTTAATTATATGATTCTATGTCGTTAATTTTAAAATATATTACGAAATACACATTTCTATTGTTAAAATAACTGATAATTAACGTCCACTAGACGTCGCCATAATCATTTGCATTCAACGTGATAAAAACAAAATTTTCAACAATAGAAAATAGTTTCCTATTATAACAATATAAATAATATGTATAATGTTTAATGAAATTTAATCTTCAACGATAAGAACAAGTTTTTTACCTACAGTATTTTTCAAGTTGAATGCAAACGATCACCATGATGTCTACTGGTTGCGTCCACGTAAGCACTACCAATTGAAACAATAAAGTAACATAATGTATATAATCTGTGTATTGTAAAATCAAAATTATTGTTGAAGATAATAGTTTCTTATAAAAATATTAAATCCAAAAACAAATTTCACATTAGGCACATGTAATATAGATGCCGTAAGTTATTATAATTTATAAGACTACAAATTCCAATAATCTCTAATCGATTTCTAAATAAATGGGACAATATTTGAAATTGTTGATAAACTAATGGTTGTTGTATTACTATTCTTTATATTTATTATATTCTTTGAGTTCTTAAGTAATATATCAACCTATAGAGAAGGTGTTTTCATTTTAATTATTCAGACATTGTTTGTATTAATATTCATGTCTTCACTATTGAGATTGGTTCTAATATAGGTTTTATGGAGAATACCTAATAATACTTTTTTTTAGTTAAACATCTGTTTTATTACAATATGCAAGCCCGGGTTATGATAATTTATAATTTGGAACCCGGGGTCAAACCAATTTAGGGGCCCATAAACATAATCAAAATATTGATAACCTACACATAATAATATTTCAGACAAAAAAATTATATTCTAATTAATAAATTTATTTCTTGTTTTTTCTAATACAAAAAAAATAAAAATGTTATTTATATAAATAATTTTTTCTTTCTTTTTGGGAAGCAAATGCTTTAATCATCGGTATTAATTAAGTACCTCTAAAACATAACTCACTGAACACAAAAGCATAAAATTATATACTATTTTATACTTGTTTTTTATATAATCTAAAAAAAAAAAAAAGAGTTAAAAAACGAAAATAACCTACTATCCACCAGGGGCCTACTATTATTTGATATCCGTTGGGGCCTGGGGCCATGGTCCCCTCTTCTCCCCCTTCATCCGGGCTTGACAATATGTATTTTTTAAATTTTTTTTTAACATTTATTTATTGAAATATTTATATTCTTATATCTACAGTGTTTTTTTTTTAAATACATTTTTTTTTTGTAGAAATATTATTTTATTTTAAAATCTTTTTATATCAAATTTGTATTGCGAATAATTATACTAATCATATAAAATTGTATCGATATACTATAGAATTAAAATAATTGGATCGTATTAATTGTTTAATTGTTTCTGTATTAAATTAGTTTGAATTAAATGGTTATCTTATTCGTAAAAAATTAAGAGTAAATTTCAATTGATTATTACTATTAGGAGTAAAAATATTCACATATCAATATTTAGTCATACATTAATACATTCGACTAATTAACACGAGTTAAAAGTTGATTATATACAAATATCTTATTGATATATATGACAAATATCTTAGTTATATTTTTAAATTTTAAAGAAAAAATCGTTAAAAGTATATTTTAATGTATCTACTGGTATATTTGGTAAAAACTGTGCAATATTTTATACAGTAAAATAAAAAATGGTTAATAGTTTTATGTTCGTTAGCCTTTTTTTTTTTTTTTGTAATAAATTGAAATAAATATTTTAATTTTTTATAAAGCTTGATGGTCAGATGTTGATATTTAACTTGATTGATTTGTACGGTATTCCTTAATTTAAGTTATATTTTCTATTTCGAACTACGTGATTTCCTTCATTCTACTGACCGTATTAAAGTTACGACTGACATTCGTGAAAAGTGTTATGAACAATTTTAGAAGGCGACATACTACATATATAACTTACTAGCGCATTCCAATTATTCACAATAAAAATATCTTTTGCAAATAATTTTATAAAGAGGGTGACAGTATAAAACTATACCATTACATTTACTATTAAAATAATATTATGATGATATAAAAACCGTATTCTTAAATATACTTTACCCAGTTCCTAGAGAGTGGCCCCATCCAAAAATCGGAGCTCCTTTAGCGCGTACATATACCCATTTAAATGTTTCCATTGCATCCAACACTAGGCCGGTCTCATTGATATCGACCTTTGTAGAGTCTCCATAACCTTAAAAATAATAAGTCTTTAATGTAAGAACAACACGTTAGTTAGCCATTACGGTATGTTTAAGAGATATTTTCCATATTATACTTCTATAATCCACAGCTATAACGTGGTAATTAATGTTCCGAAGTTTTTTGTACAATTCTATACGTAATCTATTTAAACGAGCGCCAGAGTTGCCGTGCATGTATATAATAATCGGTTCTCCATGACTCAAAGCCAATTCGTAATTGATATCATTTTTTTTGTATTGTTTTAACAAATCACTTGGTAATATGTGCCTGCAACGATATTATAAAAATAAAATATTATCCAATCAAATCAAAATATAAATATGAAATAAACAATAATACCGACAACTATATCATTTTAGTATTATTAAAACAATTTTAGAAATTCAAATATTTACTTACCATGCTCCTAACGTTACATTATCATTTATATCGATGTAAAAATTCCTTGTACCGGATATGCCGTATACTTCCGGATGACTGTAATTTTGCACGGAAGGCAAATAGTCTAAATAAAAATTAAAGGAACGATGTATTTTTTTTCTTATGCTTAAAGTATCTCGATCATAATTATTCAACAAATTCTTGAAAATTTATTTGGTATGACATTTTAAATCGAAAATAAGAAAACATGATAAAACGTCATACTTAATCTCATATTTACCTGAACCAAAGTTGATGTTATTCTTTATTGTATTGGTACATAAATTAAAATATTATAATAGTATTAATAATTAATAAAAGCTGTTGATTCAAATCGTATATATCAATGAATGTCTAAATATTTTAATGAGTTTTTATAATTGAACGTCAAATTAAACTTTAAAAACATAAAAAAACAAATATATATTTGAAAATGTTTACATTTCACAGAACAATGTTTACTATTATTTTGGCTGCGTCCGAATTGGGTCCGAAAATAATACTAGTTTTAAATTTTGTACGAATTGGGTCCGGGCGTATCAAATGATTCGTTTGAATTGGGTCCACGGTCCACGAATTAGTAATATTATTAAGTACGAATATGGATTAAGGACGTACTTTCTGGCAATAAAATGATATCTTATCGTAGTAATATACAGTATGAAAATAATATTTTAGATTAGGTATTTTTTGCTATTGAAATAATAATCGATGAACTATTATTAATATTATTAATCATTAAAAATCAGATGGACGACGAACGATTAAAAACGATTTAAAAATTAGAAAAAAAACATTTTTAACCATACCTGTAGTAACTATAGTTATCTATATATTGATGTTATTATAGACAGTCCTAAGTCTGTAAAATTGGGAAGGAAAATGTTTTTTATGGGATCCAACTCGTACAGTAGGCTATTTTAAACGGGACCCAATTAGTGAACAATCTGAATCATGGGACCCAACTAGTATGCGCAGATTATTTTAATTAGAAAATCTATTATTACTATTTACTTATATTTTGCATCAATTTGCTTTGTGATATCATTAATTTGTTTCGATTAAAATATGAAAATTAAGAATAAAATAATAATTGTTTTTTATAATTACCGTGATTCAAAAATATCATACTCTTTTGAACAGAAGGCGAGTAACGCCAAATAGCTGGAATAAGCAAGAATATGATGAAAAACGCGAATCCAACGAAGCCCAACGCCGTGAAACATGCCCTTGATCAATATAATTTTCAATAATTATGATATATTTATAATGACGAATTAACGAAAATAATTACTATTACTATAAACTATAATTAATGTACTTTATAAAAAGGTTAGCATTTTCTGATAATTAATGTTCTTCGAATGCTAACAAATTTACTCACGAAAATTATTGTTGGTGTACTCGTATAGTGTTAAAGTCTTAATTTATTTAAAGTGGTGAAATAACAAGAGTTAAATAAAAATTTGTTATAGTCTCCATGAAAAAAAAAATGCATTACTAAGAGCAATAAACATAAATATCTGTCTACTGAATAACTTAAAATATATATAATATAGATATATGTTTTTATGCCTACAAATATATTAAAAGCTATAACTTAAATAACAAATGCAAAAACTTATTATGCAAATATATAATAAAATCATTTTATATTTAATCATTCTATATTGAAATAATTAATTAAAATTAACAATTAAGTTAAATAAAAAATCCAGTTGATTAAATTACTTATTTATTTATTTTTTTTTTAAAGATATATTATTGTATAAATAGTAAAAAAGTAGTACAATTTACAAAATTGTATAAAACCAAACTGACTTGTGTAATTAAAATTGTAGTTTAATTTTTATTTCGGTGGAACAAGAGTAAAACTATAGGACGTTTAAGAAGAGTTTGTTAGCTAAGTATATTTTTAGTTTTGTGCTATACATAAAATCCAGTAGATAATGGATAAAAATAAGGCTTAAAAATCGTCGTGTACGTTTTGAATTTTCTGTAGGTAAAAATTTTAGCAGACATATGAATTTTTATACAATATTTAACTAATTGTATTATTTTATATTAGTAAGATTACTCACTTTCTCTTGTTGCAATTAACGAACATCTTTGAGGTTTGTCTATGAACAAAAAAAAAAAAAAATAATAATAATAACAATAATAATGTTAACAATGAATTTGTGATGAGTAATGAATGTATTAGCAATCATTAGTAATAAATAATAAAAAAAAATTACAGTCATAAAGACATATTTTAGATTAAATACTACCTAATCGAGTTTTAAATAACTAAAGGTGGAAATGATTTAAACTAAGTAGACCGGAACAGATTTATTACATCAATAAAAGTCTATAAACAATTTCCTTGTTACGAAATCTTATGTTTTAATTTTTATTGAGGAATTACAAGTACGTCGTAATAATAATTCTTACGATCCGACATAGACATGATTTCGGTGTGCGTTGGATATTTTGATATAATTGAATTTAAATATACCAAAACTGATAAGACGGCTATTGTCGTTTTAGTCAAGAAGTTGTGTATAATTGAATAATAACTGAAAGCGTAGAGAGATGATTCGTAGATAGAACTTTGTCGGGTGATATAAAAGCAAGTTGCCACCGATTTTGGTGTAATTCAAATTAAAAAAAAATTACTGAATAATTATGAAGTCTGTACATACAGTAGTTAGAATAAATTTCTAAGCACGAGTAAAATGAATATCACGTAAGAACCAAAGCAACATGAATTAAAAAAACATCGTATAATTTATATTATGATCCAAAATGAGTAGTTTAAATGCCAATAAATAAATGCAAATTTTTAGTGCTACCATTCAAACGTATTGAATTTAATAAAAAATTATTTATGGCAAAATAAATTAAAATATAAATATTACAAAAATCGAGACATTTCTCAATTATTTTAACATTATTCAATTAATATTTTATATCAGATAAAAATTAAAAACACATCTTCGGACATCATATTGTTTAAAACAAATTTAAGTATGCAATTATGTAAATATTATGTATTTGAGTTATTAATTATAATTTATAATAAATTTGTAAAATAAAAAAAATTTTAATTTTTTTTCCCTCAAATATTGCATAAACGTTTTATTTGGATTATCATAAAATACTGTTTGCATACTAAACATATGTGTATAAATTAGCAATTCTAATCCTATCGAATAACCAATGAATATTGATTCTCGTATTCGTATTATTAAAATTATACTATGGTGTAGCAAGTTGTTACATTGTAAAATTAAACATGAGAAAAATGAAATAACTTTAAAAAATATATTATTGACAATAACCACGCTTAGAATTTAAATCGTTAATACTTTTATGAATAATTTCAATAAAACTTTGGATAACTGGAACCAATAACTAACATCTTTTTATTTTTAAAGTGTATAGAGTATTTATTTTATTCAAAATTTAAATAGATACAGTTTTATAAAATACAAATTGAATTCAGTACTTTCCTTCCGACGATCTATAGTAAAAAGTTATTCTAAAATAATAATATTATTCAAACATACATACTTTTGATAAACAAAATTTTAATAAATGTTTAATGTATAACTTAAATTTTAATGTTTACCATAATGAAAATTGTATACTTACATAGGTAACTTGTTTATGAATAATTAAAGCTTATTTTCAATATAAACAATTAAAATATAAATAGAAAATATATTACAGTTATTAATTGAAATTAAAACTAATTACGAATGTAAGTAGATATTAGTGTTTACCGTACTGATGTTAACTACTCTACACTTTAATGAGTAGAATAGAACACAAGTTGCGTCCAAATTAGTTGACAGTTTCGTGAAACAAATTTCGTATTAGGTAGGTCACTTGCCGTACTGACAACTTAAGAAAATTAAAATATTGTAAATTGGATGCGTGTACAATATTATTGTAATTATGCATATAATTTTAAAAACAATTAACATAATGAAATGAATAGATAATAGACAATAAACTATTATTGTTAAACATTTTATAACACAGTTAAATGTATAAAATATTAAAATATTAAAATAATATCCGTATTGCCTGTATAAAATGACTTATACTTTTATACATGGTTTTGGTCAATTTAGGGATGAATATTAGCATATTATGTGATTATAATTAATTAATTAAAATATATGTACGTAATAGCGTGTAATTATGGTATGTTTTTCATAAATCGTAATGAATTATATTGTGTTAATGTAATGAGTAGAATAATCTATTCTTATTTTTTTTGAATAGCAGTTTGCTTATTTTATTCTTTTTTATCTATGAGCACATATTTCATGTACTCGTATACGTATAAATATATTTACATGCACACTTATATTTCATGTATTCGTTGTATTGTACATCGTTGTATTTTAATTGTTAGTAGTTCGAAAATATGGGGGGGGAAAAAATCGTAAAATTAACTCACAACAATTTTGGTTGACTGACAAAATAGTGTGTTGGACTATGATTGGTATCACGTTAAAATCTGACAGTCTACGTCTTGGTAATTTGTAAAAACAGGAAAAACAATCCGAATAATGTAGTAAAATATGTGATACGTATCGTACGTGGATTTCGCCATTTCATCACAGCTGCGAACATTCGAAACACAAAATAATGATGTGATTAAAAAGAGGGTTCGAACGGAAAGGGTTCAGTGTGAAACGAAGGTCCGGAATCGTTCAATTCGTCTGACCGGGTGCGCAAGGGACACCAAATAACAAAGACCAGAATTGCTGCAAGCAAGTCGATTAGGGTCGACGAGAAAACTTAGTTGCCGACAGTAAATGCGATCGGGTAAGTTCCTACGCGAAACAGGAACAATCGAAGTTCACTCTTTGACAACGCTGGATCTAGGAAATTCGACGTCCGGCGTGGAACATAAATGCTGATTCTGGGCCACTCCATCTCCGCACATACTTCTTCACCACCTTTTCCGAGACCGAGCCACTCCTCCTCCACGTACTCCGCACAATCCGCCGCCTCAGACCGTGTTACTACCGTCGTCTTTAAATTTATTTACGCGATACGGTGTCTTGGAAAATACTTAGTTGACGTTCGATATTATTTCATCAACTTTTGAATAATGCCCTCTGATTTGTTCAGCTACCCGACAAAGTGCGTAAGAAATACATGTAACACGAAGTGTTTTTTAATTGATTTTTCCCGTTTTAACCATGTACGGTGCCGCATCGCTTGGAAATATGAAAACATGGTCGTAGCACACCTTCAGGCCATAATATATGCACAGAATATATATCACGAGATAAGAGTATCGCGAATTACTATATAATTAATTATATATATATAAATTAATATTATAGATTATTATTATTATTTAATTAATATTTATTATTTAATCGCGAAGAGACCAGAATATAAATAACATTGTTCGATACACTACGAGATCGCAGCCTACGTGACCCGTAGGTCATCACGAGAATCGACACCTCAAACAATATAAATATTTTAAATAAAGAATCTTAAATATGCCGCCATCGATACAAGGTTAAGCTCAATATTTTTAGACTTTATATCCTCTTCTGACATTAAGCTTATACTCGTATGTGAGCCCAAATCTATATAAAGGTGATGACCAGTGCCGGATTACCCATTAGGTGGAGGAGGCGCCTGCCTTAGGGTCTCACTCATTTAAGGGCCCCGTGAAAACGGAAAACTATATTTTTTTTTCTATCTAATAATATCTGTATTCTATTTACGAATTTACGGGACAAAAGTCATTATGAAACATAATATATATTAATTTATAAGTGTTATATGCAGTAATAATAATTAAATTATTTCGAAAAAAATAGAAATAATATAATAATTATTTAATTTTTCTTGCAAATATAAAAATGTAATAAACATGATTTTATTTATTAATAATAGTCGGTTATTTTTAAAGCTGTTAATTTTAATTATTGAATAGTAATGTTAATGATGTACGTAAAATATAATTTTGTAGGACCCAACATTTTAATTGCCTATGGGCCCACATATGTTTAATCCGGCACTGGTGATGACCCAGCGCAGTGCGTGACAATCGTAGTGCAGTCTGTCTCCGAAACCGATACGCTGTTGGTGCGTGTAATCACTCTTTTATTTTTAAGAGTCTTGCTTAGATACGTGTGTGCACACGGGCTTGACCAAATTTATACTTTCATGTAGTTACTTACTTTTTAACAAGAAATAAGAAAATCTGAGTAAGTGCTGATTTAGACTCGGCGGTAATCAAGAATATTTCGTGTGTCATTTATTCAAATTCCTTATCAAAACGGCCAACGAAACAAGTCTCTAAACCTCAGCTTACTCATCAAACTAACTACATCAGTATATTGTATATAGGTATACAACTATAGTTGTATATATTGTTTGGTTGATTTGGTCTGCTCTTGGATTCACGACCGATATCTGTATGAGTTAACTCATACCCCCTCCTCCTACCTTCATTTTTTGGGTTATTACATTATACAACCTGTACGTAACAGGCATTATAAGTATGTGCGTTAAATTAATTACATTAGCATTGAACCATAGAGAAATTATTACTAATAATAAATATAATTACATATTTTAAATAAATAAATTTCAAAATTAATAATAATAGGTACATACTTTTTTTTTTAAATCATGCTAGAGCAGTCATACATAAATGACACTCAGGCTTGTGAAAAATTTTTTGTTATATTAAATTTTTGATTACTAAGAGGTTATTTTCGGTTTAGACGTCTGGGACAGTGTATTTTTTAAATTAGTTACTTAGGCAGGGGTGAACGCAGAAAAAAAATTTCGGAGAGTTTTAAAAAAATAAGAATAATTACCGTTAGGCCTGTATTTAAAAATTTAGCACCCTCGGGCATATTATTTATGCCCCCCCCCCCCCAAAAAAAAAAATTAATAAATAAATAAATAATATTAATATAACACTTATTATTTCGTCCATAATCGAGATTTTTGATATTAAAATATAATTTATAAATGAAAATCGTTTAATACTTTTTTTATTTAACAAATTAAATAAATTATAACATAATAAAACATATTATTTTATTTTTTTTATTGTTGTATTTTTTTTTCATTATGTACATAATTTTTAAAATTAATTTTGCTAAAATATTTTGCCACCCCTGAGACTTGACGCCCCCGGACATGTGCCTACCTGTGCCCCTCTAAATACGGGCCTGATTACCGTTATTTTGAAATAATTAACTATTGACTATAGATTGACTATTGTCGATCGTTATCACATGACCATACAACATGAAATTTAGGGAAATCGTCAATCATAATGTACCATTGTAAATAATATAATATCGATTACGTATATTTACTTATTTTTACTTACTGATAATAAGCGACTTACAAACACGCATTATTTTTACGAAGTATTGCCATCATGGAATTTCAAAAATTTGAGTTTTAAGTACCAATACCTTTTAAACGTTTGGAAAATTACAAATTACAAATTCACTTTTCTTAACAAAACATTTTTCTTCTAGCATATTTTTATCGTATTTTGAATAATTCATTTTTTTTAAGGTACATAAAGTAGGATAACTACGTTTGAAATTAATCATTCATTCATTTCGGGAGGGGTTTGAACCCCCAAAAGCCCTCCCTGCGTCCACCACTGTACTTAGGCGATACAAATATCGCCCAGTGAAAATATTTTGTCGTCTAATTGATAGTACTTCAAAAGATGGCGTGAAACACAAATTAGTTTTCAAAAGAAGATTTTTTTTAAATTATGTAAATTTTTGGGTAGTTCAGTGAACCACAAAATTCATGATCAAGCCACATCTGATTATGTTTGTGTTGCAGATTCACATGAGTCACCTATCCATTTACTGACATTAACTGAGAGGGTATGGCCTCTCAAAAATCCCTTTGCCATGGCACTGCTACTATCCAAAAAATATTGAAAGAGAACATTATTTTGAAAATCGTACGATTCCTAATACCTGTTACTTACTAACCTACTTATCATTAAATTTATGTTTCTAAGCTTAGTACAGAATGAATGTAAAAAAAAAAAAAGAAAAGTAAAAAATCGTTTATGTTACTAAATAAGTGTTCATATTGACATCGAAACCAAAAATGTGGTTGTTTTCTAGAAAAACGTGTAGCGAAATTCTACTGCCGTGTCCACTCCTACGATATTTTAATTCGAAATTAGAAATTACGTGTACAGGACACGGGAAATTATAGCATAAATAGTTAAAAAAATATTTAAATAATTTGCAAAATATTTAAGCAAAATTAATTTTAAAAATGATGTAGACACCTAATGAAAAAAAAAAATAATACAATAAAAAAAAAGAAAATAGTATGTTTTATTAGGTATAATTTGTTTAATTTTTTAATTAAAAAAAGTATAAAACGATTTTAATTTATTAGTTACATTTTAATATTAAAGAATCTCGATTATGGACGAAATAATAAGTGTTATATTATTATTATTTATTTTTTTTTGCGGGGGGGGGGGCATAAATTATATGCCCGGGGTCGCCAAATATTTAAATACGTGCATGTAAAGCAATATGAGTTTTGGCAACGCGCACGAAAACTTGAACCATACGTACAGTAGAGAGGAGTGGACGAATTAGGTATTAACAGAAAAAGGCTTAAATGGTCTACTTAAATGGTCCCAAATGGTTTAAAAGAAAAATAATAAAAGGGGCACAAATTAGTTGCAGTACAATATTGTTATCACGGTAGTGCGTGCGTGCGTGCGTCGACGTTTCACCGTGGTGCGCAGCCGTCTTCCCCGACGATAACATTGCACTAGCAACTTTAATCGCGTAATATTAGGTACTCACCAAATAATCATTCGCCAACAATTGACACGACTCAGTGAGCCGATAGTCGCGGAACGTAATCTATTTGCAGCTTCCGCGTTTCGTCGCCTCACACGATCTTACCGTGCGTTTTTGCGGCGCGCGCGTCCTTTTCTGTGTTCGCAGTAATAATAATATGCGTACGTCAGCGTAGACGAGTACGGCGTCGAAAGATCGATCGGCCCCTTTCTCCTGTCGACAAAGACGACGAGACCACGACGCAAACGGCGTTCCGACCAACGGGCACGCGTATCTTGTCCACGGCACCTGGAACTATTCGGCCGACGACCGGGTCCATCGCTGTGATCTCTGCATTCGTTTTTTTCTCAGTCACCTACGTGCTCCGTGCGTTAGACTCGCATTTTCACCAATGGCTGTGCGCACCCCCTGCAAAAATGTAAGTGCTACTACTTACCCGTTGTCTTGGCTTCAATCTGACCTCCTTCTCCCATCACCAGTGATCAACACTCTACGGGCAACATTGCTGTTAGCTTTGGCGCAATTCCCCTTGGAGTCAAATGTACCATGAAGCATTTTTAAGTAGCTGTAGATTTTGCTCGATTGCATTGTGTTTTACTGCATATTCATGTAAAACATTAACCAGCGTACTAATGAGTTTTCCCCGTATTGTTGTTAGCCATTCGTACAAAACAGTGCCCTTAGGGTCAAATGACCTTGTATCTATGTCCTTATATGCTTAATACTTAATACATTAAATCATTGCATCTGGGTATATATAATTGACTTCAGTCATTCTTGTCACATAATTGTATGTTTGTAGGTCTATCTTGGTATGCAAAAGTAGAAACCTATTGTTGAAGTTGTATTGGTTATAGGGTGTTTTGTTTTAATATGATTTTATATCAACATATTATTGGTAAAAAATGATGTAAGTATACATTATTATAGAGCTATACATAAAAATATTTATTTATAAAATTAACTTTCTCTCCGTTATCTTAATTCTTAACAATTGTATTAAGTGCATACAAGTATCTATTATTTAATGTGATTATACATAGTTCTTACTACTTTTATAATCCAACAATGATCAATATGCATACAATATAACAAGAAGATAAAACATGATGTTAAAATTTAATTCATTTAAATACAATAATAAATATTAGGAAATAATTTTAATTTTTAAATTCTTTATTCAATAATTAATATTATTAAATAAAATTACCTTTAATACCTAACTTATTATTGTAATATATAATGTATTAATGAACAACATTTTTTACCATCTCCATTACCAATGCAGCAATAAAGGCAACTACTTTATTATTGAGCTCATTATTAGTACTGAATAAGCAATTCTTCATCCCTAGATTTCTTATGAAAAATTTGAAATTTGTAGCCTAATTTACTTTATATTAAGCCTGAGATCTTAACTAATGTTTGTTGTCCACTTGTTAATGTAGGTAGTCTATAATTGTAATATTATTTAAGTAAATTTACTCATAATGTCTTGGTAATAAGTAAATACTAACCATTTACTGATATTTTATTATTTAGTTTTTGATTTTATTCATTTTTTATGTAACAGCGTAAAAAAATCTTATCACACCTAGTTTTTAAAAGTATATTTCTTCTATCAATTCACAAATCACAATAATCCAATAACTAGGAATAGATATTTTAATATAATAATTGTTTCAAAATCTGCATAATTTTCAAAGAAAAATGGACTTTATTTTATAAATAAATTCGGACCTTTATTATAATATATTCTGTAATTAAATATAAAATATAATTTAGGTGTTTGTTTTTTAATATTATATTTATAACAATTAAAAATAAAACAAAAACATTTGTTTTGTATTTATAGATATTATTATGAAATCATAACTACCATACCAAATATAATAAATATTACTGCCAAAATACAATCCTCAGCATGTCTCTGAATCAGTTACAATGAAAAATGTATAAAAATATTTTTAAAAATTTAAAACTATAATTTAATTATATTTGTATACCTAGGACTGTGGCTGTGAGCAAACAAGCTTACATTTGCATGCTGAAATTGAAAATTTGAAACAAAAACTCCTAGAAAGAGAAAATCATATTCTCAATATGGAAACAAATTTTCTCTGTGAAGCCGAAAAATTTCCACATGGCGAGTATGCTGCATTAACAGACGAAATAATAATATGGCAAGACAAATATTCCAGGTATTTAATAAAGTAGTAAATATTGACCATATAATAATGTTTATACTTGCATACTAGTGAATTACATCTTTTTCGGCTAAACACTGAATTTTAATATTATATTTCTGTTAATAATCAAATCATTATTAAATTGAAAGATAAAATTAAGTTTAGAATGTCTATAGAATCCAATTTTGTATACTGTACAGCATTTATATTATTTATATTGTTCTTAATTTTTTATTGTTTTTTTTTTTATATAAAAAGTAAATAAAGTATAAGGTTAAAGTAATTCAACTTTTATGTAATTTTTAAAAACAATCTACTATACTTTTAGTATAGGTATTTGATGTTGTGGTGGAAGACAATGACAACATTGAATATTAAAACAATGTTTTGAATTATTTTTTTACTATATGAATTATCATTATATAAAGGCAATCAAACTAGAGTCTGAGCTAAAAGTAAACTTTTATACATTTCATAATGGAGTTAAGTTGCTAATATAGTTTTATATAAAATAAACATAGTAAAAATAAACAATTATCTATTAAAGAATAATAGAGGAACATCATATTGTTTAATAATAGAACATATAATGTTCCATAAAAGTATCATGTGTATTATACATAAAAATAAACTAATTAATGTTAAATGCCCTATTATTTTACTTGAAATTATATCAACATAATATAAAGGAGGCATGTAAATATAAATTTCTTATGAAAATTGTTTAATAGTCTTAATCTTTTACCACCCAAATAATTAAAATATATGTAAAAAAAAATTGAAAATAAATATAATCAACTGTAATCGGTACATTTGTAATGTAATTGGTTTTTAGGTTATTAGAATCTCATAAGAGAGTTCAACGTGTGAACCAAAGTCTTGAAGATAAATTATTATTACTTGTTGATAAAACTGAAACAGAAAAGAATGTATTAAACTTAGAAATTACAACACTATCTCGAAAAATTGTAGACCAGCAACTTCAAATTAATCAATTGAATGACGAAAATGTAAGTATATAAAATGTAATAGATAACTGATCTATATCCACTTAATATGCTTGTCGACATGCATGATGTTTAAATAATTTTAATGTCTACTTGTAGTTAAATGTATATGAAATTTACAATATCTTAATTATTCAATTTATTGTTTGTTGTAGGAGAGGTATAAAAATGATCTTAATACTGCTATCCAATTACTTCAGTGTAAACCATCACATTTTGTTTCTCAAAAATTTAATAATGTAAGTAAAGCATAACAACATACTGTGCATAATGTTAAAATTGATTATTTAACTATAATAAGTGAATAAATTTAAATTATAAAATATAATCAAAATAAAAAAATTTAAAAAAATATAAACATTCATATAATTTATGTTTTAATCATGCTATTAATATTAATTATATTTTTATAGTTGCCCACTGAACTACAGTCCAAAGTTCGAAACTATATTTTTACCAAACAACGAAGATTATCAGATGGCAATGGTAATGTAGCCCAAAAATCAGAGGGAAAAACTATAAAAGTTCCAATTCCTACATTTCCTCCAACAGCTATGGTTTATTCATTGAGCAATGGTAATTTTTTATTTTCAAGTTAATATATAAATGTTGTTAATTTGTTTTTTTTTTATATTATAACGTTAAATATTAATATATGTTAAATAACAAAAAAAAGTTTATAAATTATTTTTATTCAAGGTAACTAATATTAGGCTGTATTTATAAATAATAATTAAAATTTTTAATATGAAGTTATAAAAAGGGTTACATAATTAAAATATTTCAAATGTAATCGGAAATTTATAATTTAATATTTTCAACCATTTTTTTTTTTTATTAGACAAAGTATGTCTAGTTACATATTAATCAATCAAATAAATTCAGTATCTTATATACTTAAGTAATTAGTATTTAATAAAACACTACACCTTTTTGGAAACATTTATGACTAAGTAATAGTTTGAACAAGAATTATTACAATATTATCTATACTCATTGTATTTTTAATTTTTTGGCTTCATAAAAGTATAATGAACAAGTGCATTGGAGTACACAAAATTCTTGGTATGTTACCACAAATATTTCAATTAAACCATCAATAAAATTAGCAGTATTACGTATGTCCTGTTAATTTGATGTATTCAGTATTGTATCTGTCAAAGTTGAATTATTGTAAAAATAGATAGCACAAAACCCACAAGTTAGATTTTTATAAGTATAACCATTTTATTTATTTTACACTTGTGAGCCAACACTGTTCAGTAGCTATGATTAATGTGTATACATGTTTTTTAAAATATTTTCATGTTTAAATAATGGAAATATATTCTTTTTTTAATTTCTAGAAAAATCCCTTAAGTCATCAAGAGATATCGAAGAAGGATCTACTCAATCTGTAAACAATGTTTCAGCATCGATTCTAGCCAAAGTTTTAGAAGAAAGAGTCAAAGAGCGGTTAACTCAACGACACTGTTACACTTGTTCATGTAATATCAAGAATAATGACTCAAATACGGAACAGCAAGAATGTCCTTCTCCTCAAACCGATTCCTCAGAAAAGCGATCATCGCGCACACTCACTAAATGTAGTAAACGACCGAACAGTGCTAAAAGTTCAGAATCTCTCGCATCCGAATCTGATCTGACGTCGAATTTTGACAATTCGCTATCTATATCAGATTCCTCTGATAACGGACTGAAACTAACTGCTAGATCAAGAATATGTTCTGTACGCTTACAAGAAGGTAGCAATAACATACTGCTGGACAATGCTGCAACACCATTTACAGGCCCTGTACTTTACAAAAGTCGCTCCTCTAGTAGTGAATATGATGAACCATTAGTGCATTCGCAAAAATTAATGGATCGTAGTTTGCATGCCAATGAAAATACATGTATATTGATTTCAGACGAAGAAATAATTTAACGAGTTGAATAATTGGCAAGAATAAAAGTCAATGTGATTTGTTCGACAATAACTACTGTAGGTGATTGATGAAATAACATACATTTTATTCGGACTAAATATAAATGGGTGTATGTTTCTTAAAATTGTACATTATGTATTATTTTTTGTGTCTTTGAGTTTGTATAATTAAAATTGCTGCTTATTATTATACACAAAACAGTAAATTAATACAATTATAGACATGACTAAAGTTGAATTATATTCAAATTTTTATACCAAGATCAATAGTTTTGAAATTATGATTATTTTAACTTCCGACTTTCAATTTGTACATGTTAATGTTTATAAATTGAAATTTAAAGTTTTAAATAACTAAATTTTCTACTGAAAACTCGAGCTTTATTCAACTTAAGTTAAAATATATAGTCCGGTTTTTAATTATTTTGAATGTACTGCAATATTTATTCTGGAAATAGAAATATTTTGTTGAATATATTTCTGGCTTGAATGATCAATACATAAATTATAAATTATTTTGCCAATTTCTAAGCCAAAAAATGTATATAACTATTTATAATTAACAACTATTATTATTGTTGGAAAATTAGATATACAGGTAACTCACCAGACTGCATAATTGTTTTTTAATATTGGTTTGATGGTATTATAAATGTTAAACCAAAAATTACTATTTTATTTATATTTATATATAAATATATAATATTGTACACTTTGACTTTTATATACGACATTAAAGTGATTAATTTATTACATTAAAGATAAAAATGTAATTGTTATTATTTATCATAAAAATATTAAGTTATTACAAACAGTAAATCTTTAAGACATAAATGCATTCTGATGGCTAAAATGCTTGTTTTACATTAATGGTATATTAGCCAATACCTACAGTTGAATACTTAAACCGTATAAACAAAACTAAAATGTTTTGAATAAGTAGTTCCTTACTATAAAATAGTAATTTATTATATGTATTTTAAATAATTTAACTTTAAAACAAATCTGGTTGGATATAAAAAATTAAAGGGGTTATTTGGTAACAGTATTTATTATTATTTATTGTTCCAACGCCTTGAGGTCAGAGAGTACAATATATAGTATAAAAGTATTTACAATGCATTTAATATTGTATAAATAGTGTTTTAAATAATTATTATTATTATAAAATAAAACAAAATCATTCATATATGTATTATAAAATTGCAATATATGATTTATTGTACTATTTAACAAGATTTCATTTACAATTTTTCCGTGTATAAGGTATTTATAGAATGAGTGTTAATTTTAAATATTTTAAAATGTATCATGTTTAGTTACTTTGGGCATACTATTTTACCATTTAATATTTTAAGAAGAAATAAAATATCAATTTAGTTTCTTCTTGATTATTAAGACATGTCAGATTTACTTTCAACATATGATATTAGTTGACCCGACAAATGTATAAACAATCATAAATAAAAGTTGCTTATGGATTATATTAATTTTCATCAATTAGACTTTTTATGAATGAGCAAAATTTTGATACAGAATGAATTAGGGAAAAATATAGGATTTATAGGTATTTGGGATCCATATTTCAACATGTTCATTTAATAAAGCCTAGGTTCTTTCCTAAAAGCATACAATATCTATATGATTATCAAAAAGTATATCAAATGATCATAATATGATAATATGATTTGTATATAATACAAATATTATTTGTTTTAAGAAAGTAGCTTTAAATATGCATTTTATACCAGGTAAAAAATAAAATAAAAAATATAAACACTATTCATAAAAGATTATTCATCAAGTATTCTTCTCCCATTTAAATATTACTTCAAAATATTTGTACGCTATTAAACAATGCATTAGAATAAATATTTATATCAGTGTTTGACCAAATACTTGGTAAATTAAATATAATTTAAATACATAATTTCAATATGTTTCATTTAATTGAAACTTACAAATAAATTATTTAAATTCATAGACATAAATAAATTAAAACAATTGCTCCCGTGATAACTTCGTGCCAACTACATGTATGCAAACAACAAAACATAACAAGTGAAATATACAGGTATACTAATTACACAAGTACATATTATTTTTATTGATGATTTGTTTAACTCAAGAAAAAGGCAATTTGAATAAGTTTAAAATAGTTCAAACAGAAATATGTGAATTAGGACATAATAATTAACTGTCAAATTGATTAAAGAATGAAACTGATGTGATTTTATTTAATAAAATCATAGTAATTTTTTATTATATATGCTATAATTTATAACATAAACTGAAAACTTATTAATCTTGCCTTTAACTATTAAAAATTAAAATTAAAATTTGTCATAAAATGACAAAATTTAAAAATTTCAACAATTTAAATTTATTGACTAATAGTACAAATTCAGTAAGATAAATATTAAAGGTAAAAAGCTTAGGTATAATGTACGTGAAAATTGTTACCCAAAACATAATGATAATAAATGTGTATAATAATAAAAAATACAAAATAATAAAATCTCTTTAAGGAATGATTACTTTCCTAATATAAAATAAAAACTTTAAACGTAAATATATATTTAAATAAATTATAAGCTATAAATAATATTGTTTTATATAATTTTTTAAATTTAAATATTTTTTCATTTCAATAATCGATAAATATTTGAATAAAATTAATACAAAAAATAGTGGTTACATAGAGATTATATGATAAAGATTGATTAAATCTTAACAGATGATAGTTGTATAAATTGTACTAAGTGATGACAGAACTATCAAATGGGTTTATTCAAACCAACCATAAGATAACAGTAACACATGTGTTAAAGGATATCATAATAGTAATTATGAAATTACCTCGACGTTAAGTGTTGATTTCTTTTCTTCACTATTTATCATTTCGAGACTAGTTTTTAGAATGTCTATTTGATGCTAAAATAAAAATGTAAGTATAATAAATAATACCAAATAATCACAAAATATAAAAATATTTTTATCAACTAAGTTGTATCACAAATGTTGCACACAAACTGTGTAGTAAATAATCTAAAAAATAAGCTTAAAATTTTCAATATTGCTAAATATTTGGATAACAAAAAACTTAATTTAAGTACATTAAAATGTTTAAAACCAAAATAAAACTATTTGGATGGACTAGATGAATTTTTGATGAAATATTAGGTCAGGCAAAATTATAAAGGCACAATATTTTGGGGATTCGATTACATTAATTTGTTTATAATTTTATCAAATTATTAATTCATTTTTTATGTTTTAAATTTATATGTAATACTTAAATTTTCAATGTTATAACAATCTCAAAAGTAATTTTGAAACAATATTAGCCAAAATAATTATATAAATAAAATAATAAGGAAAGACACGTATATTTATGTATATTATAACATAGTTTACCTGGGCATGTTTTATTTCCCATTCAGCTAGTTCTAATAAGTTTTTATTGAAAGTTGACACTCTCCTTGCTTTAAAGTCAATTAATTCTAAAAAAAATGTATTGTTTATATTTTATTCAAAATAATATAAGTTTTATTGTGAAGGGACCAATACCTTCTTTTCCTTTATCAGACATTACTTCAAATTTTTCACATGATAATTGCTGTGTTGCTTCTGCCTAAAAACAGATAACAGTTATATATATGTATATACTGAAAAAAATATTTAGTGATGCATTCTAATACATTTCTACTAAGAGAATAATATGTATAAAACTAAAATGCTTAAATTGTTATAATATAGTAATCAATAAACTAAAATAAATAATTTAAAGGATGATGAAAAATCAAGTTTAAGTTACTTATGACAATATTGGGTATGGTAAAATAATTTTAGAACTAAATCAAAGCAAATAAAATGCACATTTTTTATTTAATACAAGTTATGAACATTAATTCAAAATCTTTGAAAATTATACTTAAATCCATTTCAAAATAATTTATTGAAAAATGTTATTTCAGTTAAAATAAATATAATGAATAAAATCTATTTTTTAACTATAAATTAATTAAGAAAAACCTAGACTAGCATGCAGAGAACCATAATTAGTCTAAATAAAATTAGCAATATTAATCATTCCTTCATTTTTTTAAAAGTATTTAAGAAATAAGATCAATATAAAATAAAATAATGCATAAAACTTGGTGCACATTTACTAAATGATAAGTATTTACGGAAAAAAAAAAAAATTAAAAAATCAACACATTCCTGTTAAGAGTATAAATACATACATCATACATAAGTAAAAAATGAACATTATTCAAGATGTCACATTCATAAAATAAATTATAGACATATACTTACATCATAAACTTCTTGAGCCTCGTTAAACAAGTTAACGAAATAATAAAAATTGAATAATATATTATTTTTATTTTATGAATATGAATAATTAATTACTTACTGCATGAACATCTTTATTTTTTGCTCTAGCTTTTTCTAAATTTCGATTGGCTGTTTCATAGTTTGCTAAACAACGTAATCGCCTGTATAATAAGCGTTTAGCAGCAAATGAATCCCCTACATAATAACGTAATGTATCTGATAGTTTAAGATCTTCATCTGATGCCACTCTTCCTTCTACTTTCTAATAATTTACAAAAAAAATTTGATTAAAATAAAAGAAAATTATATGAAGAAAAATCATAGAAATAATAAGTATTAAAACATACTCTAAGTTTTTCCAATGTTTCTGAAAATCGGTTTAGAAACCAATCTAGTTCTCTATGATCAAAAGTAGATAATTGAACTAAACATGATGATATTTTAATATAACTATCAGCCACATCTGTTAAGTTAACATATTATTAAATTTTAATATTTATACATAGCTAAACTATATCCTCAGGTTAAATAAATTAACGTTCAACTAACCTTTATGCTTGTTAACCATTTTGTCTGATTTCATAGTTGCATCTTTTAAATGTCCATAATAATCTATGAGGAAATTTTTTTCTTGTTCGAAAAAATCATTAACATCTCTTACAGTTGCAGAAAGAAGATATTCGTCAGTGGTTTTAGACAAAGATTTCATAATCTCCTATTAATAAAATTACACTTATAATAAAATATTAAAATCTAGAAGTCATGGTAAAATGAAATACTCTACCTCAAAAAGTTCCTTTTTGTTTTTAGTACGAACAGCAAGATCTTGATCATATTCTAAAAATACTCGAAAATTTGTATCATAGCGAAAAACCGGGTGCTGAGCAAGTCGTGAAAGGAACATTTCGTGCATGGCAACAGTCTTTTTAAATGTGGCTAAGTACTCACTAAAAAAATTAATTTCAATAATGACAGTATGAAAAATGGTATTTAACCATTTAACTATTCACTTACGCTTCTAATTCTTTTTTCATTTTCATAAATTCTTCCTTAGTCATTGTACCTTCTCCTTCACCCAATTTTTGTAACTTTTCTCTTGAAGAATCAAAATCTGGCCGTGGAGGTGCAGGAGGAATCTTTAAATTGAAATTGAATACAAAATAAAAATGATTTAATTTCAAAATAAATAATCAGATAATAATACATCCAACCAATCATGTAAAAAGATTAATATACATAACCTAAAATACTTACAATAAATCCTGCATAGTCTTCATTTTCTTCAAACTGATCATGTAACCAAATAAATTCTTCATGTTGTCGCACGACAGAAAATTCTGACTTTTGAAAATCTGGCAATGTAGTCTAGACAATAAAGATGATTTTCAAAGAATTGAAGAAGTGATTTATATAAAATGATTCTTACTTTAGACAAAACGGTGAATTTTACTCTGTCCTTCTCACTTAATGCATCAGAAATAACAACTTGTAAAGAATTATCGCTTAAGTCAACATTTTCTGAATTACTTCCCTAATGAACATACAAATTTTACATGTTAACTAAGCCAAAGGAGATCAAGTACAATTATAAATATAAATTACTTCAGTCATAAGATCTTCGTTTAACAGATCACTTTGTGAGTTGTTATCTTCCACATCAAACTCATCAGACTAAAATTTAAAAATCAAATTTTAAGACGTATTATCATACAGAATAACTTGCAATATGAAAATTGCATATAACTAACGACCGATACCAATACGGTATCATCTAAACCTAATTTAAAACATTCAGTTTGTATACCATATATACCATTTACCCATTACCATCTAAATTATTGTCTTTAACTTACAAGCATTATGTTTGGATGTGTAACTTTGAAGTTTCGAGAAGAACAAGCGAACGGCACCCTCGCGTATAGAGTTTTCCCAGTGCACGTGATGACGCGAAGCCGTACAACACAGCGGCGGCGGACACAGCAAGAGACGGACGGGAAGTGCTGAGACGTTAGCCGTGTTCCTTACGCGTAAACGTTTGTCAAAATTGTCGTCGCATTCGGCGACGATAGGTACTGAACGTTCGACGTGCGGTTATTAAACCATAAAACGCTCAGCTGTACGTACGGCTGTTGTTCACTCGCGACACATTGGCGAAACGGTTCGTTTCGCTATCGCAGCGTCGCGTTCGAACGAGAAAAACAATTTGCGAAACGGTAATCAGACGGTATAATTATTGTTATAATTATTATTATTGTTGTTATTATTAATATTAATATTGCACTGTTGGTTAATTGAAATTATTTTTTACGGTCGTCGGAACGCGTTCTGCGAATCCCGAGCTGTGGCACGGCGTACGGTACGGCACTATGATAAGAGTGAAGCGGTCTGCACTACGTATGCCAACACGCCCACCCGATTGTGTGGCGTCCGCTGATATTATTATTGTTACGCGATGTTATCTCCGGTGTCGTCGTCGTAGTCGTCGTCGTCGTAGTCGTCCACGGACGCATCAGGCAGCGCTGCCAACACCCGACCGTCGGGTTCCGTATCGCTCGCCCGTCATTGCGCTGTGATCGCCCATTGATAATTATTGTTATTACTGTTTGCACGGTAGACGGGATGGGAGGAAAACAAAACATTACCGCGTCGTACAAAATCGTACAACAACGTTAATAACTTGTCGCGACACTTGACCGAAGCGCGCGGTCACTGTTCACGGCCGTTTCCTATCGCGAAACCGACACGTGTACGTTGTGATCTGTACTTTGTCTAGGGCCAGCGATTAAACGTACATAAAAACGTCGACAAAATCATTTTACCGCACAAATGGTGATGATCAGAAAATAATTTACGAAAAAAACTGAAATCTGAAAAATGAACTTGATGCAGCCACGATTAATAAAAATAAATCATCTTTGAACAACATCATACCTACATCGGTAACATTTTAACAATGAAGCCGTTTTATGTACAAATGTATGCATTAAAACTAAATAGCTAACCGATTATGAAAACATCTGCCTACGAGTTACTGATATAAAAAAATATAAAAATATAACAAAAACTTGTGTACCTAGATCAGTGATTCTCAACCGGTGTGCCGCGGTGCACTAACATGCCGCGAAAAATGGCCGATTGATAAAACTGTGACATTTAAATGTCAATTAATTGTGCAGATATATATTTAGGTAAAATGTATAGTGTACACTTCGCGGTTTCAACCCTACTGGATTTGGCGTAACCAAAGTTTTTGTTGTCCAGTGCATGAGTGAGCCGCAAAAACTTGTGATGTATAATAGTGTGCCGTGAATAAAAAAAAGGTTGAGATTCACTGACCTAGATATTATTCGTGTTCTTATAATCCGTGTATTCATTACCCGTGCTTCGTGCATTCATTCAAAATTCACTCGCATGTACAATAATACATCTTTACATTCGAATCTTATACGGGGTCTGATTAAAAAAAAAAATCTCTGTTTTACACATTTATAATAACATTTTATAATCCAGAGTTTTTATTTCCTGGCGTACAGAGTTTTTTTTTCGTTGAAACGATAATACTTCCGTATCCGGTTAACAGAGGTTTCGTTTTAATAAGGTTTATTTATCATTTAAATAATGTATTTTAAACAAGACAATGCTTTTTTTTTTGAATTATCAGGGAATTTCCGTCAGGGCCGCATTTAGGGGGGAGGGGCAATGGCTACAACTTCCTTGGTCGCCAGTTTTTTGGGGGTGTCAACATTTTATGGTCGGAAATTTGCTCACTTGTGAATTATTGAACTTTTAAAATTATTTTAAAATTATTATTATTTTTTTTTTTTTTTAATAACAGTATTATAAATTAATGTTAATGTATTTTAATTTATTAATATACATTATTAATGTATTTATAGCTATCAGCGATCCAGAATATTATTAATATACCTAATACTAGTTCCTAAGTTTGTTGTGATAATGTCAATAAACATAAGTTATTTATAATAATACGGTGTATTATGTATGTACTATGTATTATTATCGCGTGTGGTGTGCGGTGGCGTGCCCACTACACAAAAATAGCATTGATTTTAGAATATCTAAAAGGTTCATGAGGATCTATCTCCTATATTGTCCGTGGTTCCCCCTCACGATATCCCTCGTTGAAAATATCCCTGTTACAAATATCTTACGTTAAAAATATCCCCGTTACAAATATACCAATTAAAAATATCCCCACTAATATTATCCCTTAATTCATAACGATTTACATGAAAATTACACGCAATACCTTTTAAATACTTAATTTCAGTAACATGTTCATAGTTAAGAACCATCGATATGGAAATTTATAAAGTGTTTCCAACTAAAGCAAGGTAAATAAAACATATAATTTTATGAATAATTATAATTTTTTTTTATTTTTATTTAAGTAATATTATTACAACTATGTTACATTACGATATTACGACTATTTAGGCCTCCAAGAAGCAAAAATTTAAAAATATATGTCTGGTGAGCTACCCATTAAAAAAAAAGAAAATTTATGAGAAGTTGGACATACAATTAAAATAAGTGGTTCATAACTATGAACATGCTACCGTACTAAAATATTTAAAAGGCATTGCGTGTAATTTTTCATTTAAAAAAATCTTTTTTTTATGTATATTTAATTTAAAAATTATGTTAATTTTAATATAGTATGTTAAGTCGAAATATACATTGCTAAAAACAATAAAAGTGTAATTAAAATTTATAAAATGTTTTTTAAAAAATAAAAAATATAAATATGAACTAAGGGATAATATTACTGGGGATATTTTCAATGTAGGATATTTGTAACGGGGATAAATTTAACTGGAAATATTTTGATGCATGGGATATTTTGAGGGCGCACCATTTTCCGTGGATAGGCCCCTTAGAGGAGTGCCAATTTTTTTTTTTTTTGCGCCTTGGCAAAAAATTACTAAATACGGCACTGCTTATAGGGAGTCCATTGTAAGTAGGGGACGGATGTTGTTGCATTTTAATCTTTTACTGCTCCAATTTATTGCTATGTAAATTTTAAATGTGTTTCGTATATGTACAAATGATTATCTAAAATATATAATGCAAATTTTGAAATTGTATTTAATTATTTTATTCTAACAATATTTTTTAAGTAATATATATTTTATACACACAATTTTTATCAATTGTAACTAATGAGTCAGTGATACTCGTATATAATACGTAAATTACAATAAGTTAACGGCACATAAAAATAAACGTAATTTTATGAGTTATAATGAAACGTTATTTGATTAGTGTAATTTTAGATTTTTTAAAGCACAATTTTCAATCTATTTTAGTGCAATATTGCAATACATTTTACAAATTTTTTACTGCTACAACAACCGTGCCTTAATTGTAAGGTACTTACGTATTTAGATACATGTGAAATAGCCATAGTATTTGGGTCGGTCTTAGTTTTTGCGTGGCTCTGGGCAAAATAATATTTTGCCTTAACTTTGTTTAATAGGTTTTCTATACTTGAATATTTTCTAATGTTTTCTTTGTGTTTATATTTATTAATATATTAATAAACATATACATAAATAAAACATTTATAGTTATAACTTTTATAATGTTAGGTGTTTTACTCTATAAAGAGACATTTTAAATAATAATTCAAACCTTAGTAATATATACGGTTTTTATGTTTTATTATTATATATAACAGGCTAATAACTAGAATATGAATTTTAAAGCAATAAAAAACGAAAGAAAAATACTCAAAAGAAAGCAATAAAGCTATATAAATCTTCTAAAAAGCTATAAAAAAAAATATTTCGGCATTTTGTGAATGACTATATGGTGTTACAAAAAAATTAAACTATAATTCTGAGTTGATAATTTTCAGACCAAAAACATATTTTTGTGTTTATTGTCGTTTCAAGATAAATTAATCAACTATACGGTACGTGACAAACTGAACATATCGGGTAAGGTTGTCGAAAAAAGATTAAACAAGGTTTGGAACAAAAATAAATAAAATAAATTTCAAATTCGATTAGGTATTTAGAACACATTGTAGTCAACTACAGAAAGTCACCAACATAAAAGGGCTCCGGACTAAAGTCAGGGTGGAAGCTCTGCTTAAATCGGTCATCGTCACAATCGTAACTTCATTGATTTTTCTAAGGCCCTTTACAAACGGAGTTACTCAAAAGAAACTAGACTGGTTCGCAGTGGCGGCTTGATAGTATTTTTTTGGTGAGGCAAACTATTATCCTCCCCCCCTTCATAACGAAAATTAGAATTTACAGTAAATGTAATTTAAAAACATAAAAATAACTATAATTGTATACCTATCCAACACAAGCCACAATTTTAACAATACAGAATATAAGAAATATAAATTAACATTACAATGGTTTAATTAGGGCCGTTCGACTCCTAGGTATAACAATAACAACTGATAATGTATTCTACGTTTTCACGTAAACTGTGAGCTGACCATAATAGGTACCAGTATACGGCATTTATTTTTAATACACACAGGCGATAATAATCGAGCCTCGTGATGATCATTACTAGGGCTCGGAAGTTGTAGGAACTAAAAAAGGCAAAATATGCACGAAAAAATTGTAAAATATGCAAAAAAAAATTATCTAATATGTAAAAAATTTTTATTAAATATGAAAAAAAAATGTACTAAGTATACAAAATTTTTATATGTTTTTATTAAATTCAAAATTTTTTGGGTGATTTTTATGAATTGTAATTTTTACAATCTAAAAAAAAAACAGAATGAAAGTTATTTGAAAAATTATAGGTATTTATTTGTTATTATTCAATAAACATATAAATTATTATAACATACATACCTGTAAACGTATTGCATTTAACAATCAGAACTTTCTTTATATTTTCCATATCAAACGAACGACGATTGTCTGAAAGTATATTTTTGTAGCGCGAAAAACTTCTTTAAACATCCGATGAAGTTATGGTTAATGTATATGCGAGCATAGGCGCAAATAGGGGGGGGCTTTAGGGGCTAAGCCCCCCCCAAACACTTCAATAGCCCTCCCAAACATTTTCTGATTTTTTTTAAGCCTTTTTAGTATTATTATAGTTTATGATGCAAAATTCAGTACCTAGGGCTTCAGCCCCCCAAATCTCAAACGCTATTTGCGCCTATGTATGCGAGTAATGTTAGTATTAATAATACACTTGCCATATTGCTATTAGATTAACGATAACGTCGATAATATTATATAGTGTTTACCTTAGTGCTATAAAGATAAATACGCTCCGTTAAATTAAATTGATATAACAACGGTAAGGTATGGCGACTAGTACGTTTAATAATCGAAAAAAAAATAAAACTTCAAATTGTTTAGAAAATATTACACAGGCATAAAAATCTCATGAACATTAAGAAATGTGAATAGGTAAAAAGTATATGAAAATTAAGAAATATGCACTTTTTTCTAAAATTGCCAAAATATGCGAAAACATTTAAACTCGTTTTTGTGTGGAACGAATTTCTAGCTTGATCTGCTATAAATTGAGAGTATACAGAAAATTATGCAACTCCTACAATTTCCGAGCTTTAATCATTACGCATGTGCAATTCTACTTATATAACAGTCGCGTACCTACATACGATTGTGTGTGTTATTTATTTAAAATATAAATATTTGTACAAGAGTACAAACTTCAGAGGATGTTGGACAGTGCTTATCGATGTCATTGGAACATTGCCGCCGGCTGAAACACTATCGTTTGTTTACGTAATAATTATTTCATGCATTTCTTATTGGTTTATTGCTATTTTTGATAATAAACACGAAATAATTTACATCATAACAAATGCTAATCCATATTATTAAACTTGGCAAAGAATTTTTTCTCAAATTAAATCATGAAAACGTTAAAAATTATTACCGAAATATGTGCTATCGATGGCGACCATGTTTTAGTAGAGTTGTTGATGACTTTCAATTAGTTCAACGTTAATACTTAACCACCAT